CCCCCATTAATCAGGACTGCAGAGAACTGGGAAGCTTTACTGGGAGCACCAGGCAGATGGTGTGAGAGCAAAAGCAGGGTCGAGGGGGACACACGACCCCCCCAAACTCCGGGCGGGGATGGATTGTGGGGTCCCGGCTGGGCCCGAGGCCACGGGGAGGGGCTGCGGCCACCTCTGGCTCAGGAGCTCTGTGGGGAGAGAAAAAGGGGTGACAGCGGGCTGGGGGGGCAGGAGGGCACACATGGTGTGGGGAAGGGGGAACACGACCCCCAGGGACCCCCTTTACCTTTTCCCGCAGGTAGAAGCCAAGCCCCAGTGCCAGGAAGACGAAACCCAACACGAAGCCCCCGACCCCCACCAGGATCTTGCTGCGGACGGTGTCCTGTGGCATCACTGGGGGGAACCAGGTGGGTCAGGACCCCCAAAACCTACCATAGACTACCTGGGACCACCCGAAAATCCCATCCTGGTCTCCCCCAGCCCACCCAGGATCCTCTGAAACCTCCTACCAGTCCCTTCCCAGCCCCTCGGGGATCCCACAAAGCCCCTCCCATCCCCTTTAGGACCCTCCAACCCCCTCCCATCACCCCCAGGACCCCCTAAACCCTTCCTAGTCCCTTCCCAGACCCCCCAGCACTTACCCAACCCCCTCCCAGTCACCCCAATACCCCCCCAACCTCCCTCCCATCCCACCCGGGCTCCCCTAAACTCCCTCCCAGTCACCCGGACGACTCCCCACAGCCCCTTTCAGTCCTTCCAGGGCTCCCCAACCTCCTCCTCTGCCTCTCCATCGCCACCCAAAGTGCCTCCCAGTGTCCCCAGTGCTCCCCCAGACCCCTGGCCCCCCCTGCCAGTGTCCCCCATGCTGGGGGGGCCGGGCCGTACCCCAGTGCCGGCTGAGGGGGTGCTCCAGGCTGACGTGCTCCACCTGGCAGGTGTAGGTGACCCCGCGCCGGGGGGGCATTTCCAGCATCACCAGCACCTGGTAGGTCCAGTCCCCGTTGGGGACCACGTCGGTGGCCACCACGTACTCCGGCAGCTCCTGCCCATCCTGGAACCACCTCACCTGCACCGGGCAGGGTAGAAATCCATCACGGAGCAGAGCAGGGGCTGGGGCCGGGCTGGGAGCTCGACGGCACCAGCGAGATGGACACGCTGGGGGGCACTGGGAGAGACAGGGGAGACACTGGGCTGAGCTGGGGGGCACTGGGCAAGAAGGGGAGACACTGGGTTGAGCTGGGGGGCACTGGGGGAGAGGGGTGAGGGTTTGTAGGACATCGGTAGGGGTTTGGGTGGCACTAGGAGGGACTGGGATGGCAGTGGGAGGGACTGGGAATAGACTAGGGTAGAAGGGGATGAGCTGGGAGGGCACTGGGGAGAGAGTTGGGAGATGTGGGAGTGAATTGAGAAAGACTGGGAATGGACTGAGAGGGTGTGGGAATGACTGGGAGGGACTGGGAACGAGCAGGAGTGACTGGGAATGACTGGGAAGGACTGGGATCGACTGGGAAGGAACGGAGCGGGACTGGGAGGCTGAGTCTTGGAGAGGGAACTCTGCTCTGCGGGTCTGCCCGGCAACTGATGCGTCATCAGAGAGGCGCGCTCTGATTGGCTGAGCGGAAGGAGAGCGATGGCCCCATCGGGGTGGAGACGCGGGGGGGACACTGGGAGAGACTGGGATGCGTTCGGGGGCACTGGGAGGGGGCAAAAGGCCACGAGGATGGGCACAGGGAGGGCTGAGGGGTCTGGGGTGATTCCCAGGGAGGGTTTCAGGGGCTCCAGAGTCGTTCCCGGGGCAGGGGAATTCCCGAGGGGATCCGCTGTGCCCCATGCTCACCTCTGCTGTTCACAATGAAAGGGGTGG